ATATAAAGAAGCTATACATACATATCTCAGGTCTCTGATGGCTTCACAACTCTCTCAGGTTACATGGTATGTGTGTAAAAACTTGACATCTCTGCTTGTACAAGGAAGACTGGTTAGAGATGCACACATTCAACGAGACTCTGTTGAATAGAATTGGCCAAATCAGATTAAAAACCCAGTATCTATGATGAAGGCTGCAAGCTGCCTGCTCCGAGGGTTTCCACTGATGTGAACCAGAAGCTTCTTGCATGTGGTCAGGGCCTAAATTTGATACTGGAATTTAAAAACAAATTAAGATTCCCATGTAATATTGACTTCTTTTTTTTTTTTTCCAGAGTAAAAGATTTTACAGCATGGAATGCTATATGCAGTGGTTACATGAGTCCAAGTAATTGTACCAATTATATAATTTGATATAATTGCACTAATTACATAAACACATAATAATGAAATATAAGTTATTCCAAGAGCTAAACTGGAAGAACATTAAAGAACCGAAATCTGCTCCCACTTATTCTAGTACAAATCAGAAACAATTCCCCTGAAATCAATGAAGTTGCCCAAATAAAATTGGTCCCTACCATTACAAGCAGCCAGGTAGATCCAGCTTTTGGTTCGAGGGTACTGACTGGGTGAGCAAATGAAAGCTACTGGGGTATTTTGTATGGACAGAGACTGCTAATTCCTGGCCAAATTCCAGTGTATGCAGGGAGATTCTCCCTGTGTTCATGAGCAGGTTAGGCGTCTTCTCCCCTTGTTCTGATCTGTCACACAGCATCTGTGGGTTTTGCTAAATCTTTTAGCTGCTGATCCTAAAGCAAAAATAAAAGGGTTTTTAGAAATACTGAGAATGAGCTGGGCCTGATTAGGATTTCAAGAAAACCAGATACAGGTGTGTCTTTAGCCATATTGGTGCGAGCCTGAATTACGTCTGCAGACTTTGGGGGAGCTACTGCAGACTGACACCAGTATTAGCAGAAACAGACCCTCCTGTTAGACAAAAATTTGTCTTTCTGATCCATTTTGTAAAATGTTCTTCAACCCTTCACACTAGAAACCACTCCAAACACAAAATTATTCTTAAGGAAGATTCATTCAGTGAGGGATTTCCCTTTTCTCCCACGGCAAGGGGAGCACAGGAATTAATTTCAGCTGCTGACTTCATCTCTTACAAGTGACAAAGCAAAGAAGGTGAGACTCGGCAATTTTGGACCGGGTGTCTGTTACGTGTGGAAACACATGATGTATGCAGAGCTAATCCACCAAGTGCTCTGTTGCACCACATCGTGACAGTCACCCTGTTCACACCGTCCTCGTTAATGCCACTGAGAAATCCAGGCACAGGGATGAGGGTTTTGCCTGTGTTAGAATATTTTTCAAGGATGACGACTTCCCAGCTGTGGAGACTGATTCTGCTGTGTGATAGAATGCCATGATTTGGCATTTACAGGACCAAATTCAAAGCCTAGGGACACCTAGTCACCTCAGGGAGTAACGGACCTGACCCAGGTGGTTTTGTAGATACAGTACCTAACTCAGCATAAGGCAATGAAACTGGATGCTAAGTTTTATATGGATGGGAATGACAAATGGGAAAATAAAAACCAAATTTTTCAAAAGCAGCCGTCAAGTTTGGGCATCTCCCTTCCATTTTGCCTGATTTTAAAAATGCAGGAGGTGGAAGGTGCAAAAAGCTAGCAAGAGCAGTAGCCTTGTCACATGTCTGAAAAATCAAGCCCAAACTGTCTCAGATCAGCCCCTCAAAATTAAAGATCTTTTTAATTTTATTTTGTTTTAGCCTTAGAAATCTGGTGACAGGTTGGTATTGGCACAGGGACTCAGGAATACCTCACTCTCTGCAGCGTGCCCAGAGCAGTGAGTAACTCCACATCACAGAAAACTCAAAGCATGTTCTGTTCAGATTGATCTCCAGAGACTGTTTCACATGAAATAAAAGGACTTGGGAACCTGAACTATGATCCAGCTTTTCCCACTCCCAGATAATGCTCCTTACACTATACTCATTTGTGCTCTTTTTTTGCAGTTCTATATCTGCCCCCTGAATGTCAGGGCCATAGCTGCAAATGGGGAAGCAGGGAAGGCAGGGGAAGAAAGCCGTGAAAGCTTTCTACCAAGAAAAGGTGTGTTCTTTGCTGGCTTCTGTGAAAAACATTCAGGATCTCAGGCTTGCTTGTGGGTTTGCGGTGGGATGCAGAGCACAACCTGCTCCTGCTCCTCACTGCTGGCCGCCCAAGCTCGTGGCATCCTGCCTGCCAGCAGATCCCTGCTCCCCAGGGCTGCAGGACCAAATCCCATGTTGAGACACTCTGCTCTCCTCCTGGGAGAGTACAGGAGTCTCAGTGTCCGACGCAGGGCTTGGCTTCGACCCCAGAAACCAACCACTTTCAATTAAGAACGAAACCTAACCAGACCCAGCCTCCAGGGCCTTGCATTTCAATGGGCAAGATGTCTTAATATATTCCATTTTTAAAAGTGCAGCCCAGTCTTATTAATAAAGACTGTGTCATATTAGGTCAAATGTGTCTTCAGACTGAAGGGACCTGTATTTGCCCCTGATATCAAGAGGACTTTATTGAACTCACCAGAAGCACAGTTGATCCAGGGAATAAAGACAGGGAGAAGGCTGCTAAGAGATGGGGCAGGAACAGCAAGCAGTGGCTTTGACAACAAATGTGCAGTTTGAGGTGGTGAGAAAGCTATGAAACATTTGAAAAATTTGGTCTGGGGGCCAAAGTTCTACACAGCAGGTTGTTGACACAGCCACTGCAAATTGCTCCTGGAGGTCTCCCGAAACAAAGCCGGTTAACCTCGGTGTCTGGCTTTGGGGAGGGGTGGGCAGAGCTACGCTTGAATGTGAATTGTAACTAGAACCCATCATTAGTTGCATGAACTTGTTTCTTCAACACTTTCCAGGTCTCAGGGTCAGATCTAACGTTTGCTAAGTCAACAGAGGTCCTTCTGTCAGCTTCAACTGGCATTTGCTCAGGTCTCCGGGAGGAAGAATTTATCTGGGAGGATCAATGAAATCAATATCTGGATACATGCGTAGCTGACGAGAATTTCTATGAGTAGTTTTCAAGGTTTTTGAGGTTTTATTAGTTAAAGGGGACCTACTTAACTCAAAAAAAGTCTCCTTGGTGCCAGCTATTATTTTTTTTTTAAAAAAGTCCATCAAACTTATTATTGACCTCTTTTTCCTGGAAGTGCTTTCCACGTTATTTTTTTTAATTCTTGTAACCGATTAGGGAGTGACCTAGACAAGAAGTTACATTCTTACACAGCAGGTGAACCAGGAACTTGCTGTAAATGACCTGCAGGTATGCGGAACAGCGCCCAGATACCCTGCACTGATGCAGAGAGAAAGAAGCAGATGCTTACACGTATAGACGGCAATAAAAGCAGAGTGTAACATTTTTAGGATCGCAGCTGAGCTCTCAGACAAGCCTTTCTGCAATGACTAATACGACTATGGTCTAAGCGACAGTTCGCCGTCTGCAGCCGCATTCAGTCCTGAAAGTAAGCAAGTTTCTCCAGATGTTACACACTGAAAAAAAAAGAAAAGAAAAAAAAAAAGTACAGCCAGTTTTCAATGTTTTTTATTTATTTAAACTGTACACAAATGTAAAATACTTCAACAGCAAATCTAAGTGAAAATTGTTTGGTTTAAATTATTATGGAACAGAACCTAACAGGAACTTTATTAAATAAACATAAAAATTGGATTTAAAGGATGCACATATTGTAATGTATTCTACAATAGTCATTTTTTTTTCACTCTACATTCCATGTGCGTATGGTATAGAAAAGACACTGAATAGAACAAACAGAATCCATTTTGTACCCTGAAACAATTGGTAGGCCTCGTGAGGGATTGCTCAGTATGACTACATGATATATGATGGCTTTGCCATCTCATAAAAATTATAACTAATATGTTGGCCTCTTTGGTTCCAAAATTTATGTATAATACATTTAACTGTATTCATTTTTTGCTGCTATAAAAATAACATTTTTTTCAAATGGCAGTTTTTTGACTAATCATGCAACTAAATCAGTGCAAACATTAAAAGCAATCATTCGCTTTAAAAAAGAAGCAAAAGATTTAATTTCAAGTATAAAAAAATATAAAAAAGTCATATCATAAGTCCAGTTTTGTCTAGTATGGGTCAACACTTTAAATTGCATAGCTCATGCGGCACCTGTTTACCTAGATAGTGAGCAAAGATAAGTGCACTATCAAGTACCACTTTTCAAGGCATTGAAATTTGCAAGTGCTATTATACGTGCATTCAAGCAGTTTGCAAGTGCTATGCTGTATCGTTATTTTCTGATCTTTATGGCCATCTTCGACACCTCCTGGTAAGGAAATTGAAAGCTCTCTCCTCCTTTCCCAGACTCGTTAAAATGTTCCTCGCCAGTTATCAAACGCACTGCATTTTTCAGAACGTCTCCACTCTGTAACTGTCACTCCTCTTTAGGGTTCATTGGTTTAGCCGTGGCGGCGGCGGCTCGTTTGCTCGTCCCCCACGTGACTTGTCCTTGCCGAGTCCCCCGTTGAAGAACACAGATTGCAACTTCGATTTTGCATTCTCCGAACAGTGAGAGATGCCAACGGTCAACACAGTCTAGATACGGTATCGGATCTCCTTTTCCAAGACACGGCGGGTACAGCCATCCACGGGTTGCTAGCGGGCAGTTAAAGCATCGGATCACATCAGCCCAGCTTGTGACTTCACAATGGTCAGATGTTGGAAATATAGCAGTTGCTTACACATCTGTCCCCTTTTCTCTCTCTCTGATGGTACCACGCGATTCCTTACTGGAAGTGCTGTAGGAAGATGGGGGTATCTGTGATGCTTACTTTTAGATAAATTTAAATTAAGAGGAAGTGAGCACCTCCCAAGGCAGGTGTCCTGCAGCTTCCCGTTAGACCTAAGAGGTGACGGTCGACTTTTTTTTCTTTTTTTTCTTTTTTCTTTTCTAAGTTTGGTCATTTTGACACCTGCGTGCAAGAATACGTCGCGTTCTCGCAGTCTGTGCTTTTGCCTGAGCAAAGGGAGCTCATTTCGGTGTGACTCCACCGGCAGGCGGGGAAACAGCTGCTCAGCCGTTCACTCGTACTGGCAGGCATTTAGGTCCGTCGTCACTGGTCACTGACTTTCTGTGCTCATGTCCCTTTTCCGAGCTGCCTCGTGTGTGTCTGTGTGCGCGTGTGTGTGTCTGTGTGTGTGTATGAGCGCGTGTTGGTGCGCGTGCCCACGTTTCGTGTGAGTGTGTGTGTGTCTTTAAGATATTTCATAGCATTAACTTATAAGTGGTAGAATATATAAGTGTCCAAGATCCACAAACTGCCACTGTCCTGACACCAAAGTGAAATGATGATTTTTTTTTCTTTTTTTTTTTTTTTTTTCTCAAACTTTTCCACAGTGACTTTCCAACACTGATGCCTGGATACACAGTGAAACTTCCTCCAACAACATCTCGTACGGGAATGTTTCTCTCTCGCTCTTGCCCTCAATCTCTCTCTCTCTCTCTCCCCCCCAAAAAACAGACCTTAAATCAAGCACAACCACATTCTTCCACAATCATATTGGGAACGTCCCTTTTCACAATGTTGTATTCATCATCAAAGTACAGCATTGACATTGTGCTAAGTTTGGTTGGAATGCAACAGGAGTTCACGGTGCCCGGGTTCAGCCCCCGCATTCGGTACTGATTCACGACGGCGGTGTGAAAGGAGGAAGCCGACCCCGGGACGCCGGCCAAGTAGGCCGGGCAGCTCCCTTCACAGTAATTCCCATAGTAACCTGATGGTGCTATGATCCAGTCATTCCACCCAATGAGTCTAAAGTCAATGTAAAACTGTTGCCTGCAACATAGATTGGTCCTGCCATCGCACTCCAGGCCTCTTTTCCGGATCCTGTGTTTGTTATCGGCGAGGCGGGCTTGCACCACTAAAAAAGGCCGGTGGGATTCCTCCCCGGGGTCCACATAAATTGGCAGCACTGAATACTCTTCACAGCCCTCACATTGAACATCCAAGTTCAGTCTCCTTTCTCCTCTCTCAAACAGAGCCTGGATCGCCTCTGTCATGGGAAAAGTGTGCCAACCACTTCTTTTGAGATCAACTTTCTTTTCAACCACATTCCACTTGTTGCTAGTGTCCGGGTCTTGGAAATAGACTTTGACTCTTACTTTTCGCCTGCTGCCTTTCTCTAAGACATATGGAAGCAGCTTCAAGTAAAGCCACAGGCTGGCTTGAACGACAAACAAGTTCTGGTTCCCTTCATTCGAGATGAAGAAATAGAGGCGGACTCTAGATGAGGCCAGATCGTCTGCAAAATAAGGAGAGATCAGCAAGATTAAGTCAAAAAGGAAACGTTAGCTTGCGTGCCATTCTGGATTCAGGGACAACGTTAGAGCACAGAGGACGGCAAGAGCGACGGCGGGGCTGCGCCAGCCAGGAGGCACGCACTGAATCAGATAACTCCAATTTGCAATCGAAACGCATTGAAAAGGGACTTCCCACAGCAACGTTCATCACCAGGGCTGCAGTTGGATGGATCGGATCCACAGACACCAGTAAGAGCTCTCCCAAATACGGGGTTTCTCCAGGCAGTCAGCTCTTAAAAGACGCTACAGCAGCACCTTGAAAAGACCGGCACTCGGACTCTGCTATCTCGTCGGTTTAAGAATAGTTTTAACTTTCAGCTACCTGCCAATTCTCACGGGGAGAACCCTTTCAGAAACCACTGACACACCAGTGCCAAACCAAGGATTTTGTTTCGATTTTCATGTATTCTTCTCGCGGTTTAAAAGAGAGGATTCACGAGATGGAGGGGAAAATATTTCAGTAACGTGCCTGCTTGTCCAACAGATCAAGCTCACCTCCACTTACTCTGGTAGAATATCTGCTATTATTAATCTCCTGATCTCTCCCTTTTTCCCCCTGAAACGATAAACTCCCATACAAGACGAGGCAACGAAGCGGTTGTTCTCGCCGTAACGCCATTACTGACTGCTCTCAATACGCTTTTCAATAACACCAGAATCAAAGGAGCGAAATCGTCATGGAAAACCAAATGTCACCAAATGTCTGACATAATCCCTTATTTGTAAACAAAAGAGCCTGCTGCATGAAATGTTTCAGAAATACCAGTGGCCCTCCTGCAATTTTGTACTATAAATCCTAACTGAATTTGGCGTAGGTGATGAATGTGCAAGCTGGCCTTTACAGCAGAGACTGTAATTCTAGCCCTTGAATCAAAGCCTCCCAAACACTATTTAAAATTATTGCTGGAAAGACATTTTCTCATCTGCCCTTATCTGTTTCGCTTCTTTCTGCGCAGAGCCAAATGTAGATTTTTTTCTTCCTTCTCTTTTCCTAAGAATCTCTATTATTTTTGTCAATCTCTGAATGGGATTTTTTGCGTAGTCGGTGTCTCCATTTGTTACCCCAGATGCCTTTCAAATGTGCCTCCAGGGCCCATTCAGTACCTTGTAATATTTCAGAGACAAAATTTTTTACTATATTCGTCTACATTTTACGTAAAGTCGATTTTGCAAGTGTTACAAAAGCCAGCGATTAATTGAATACATCAAATGGAAGTACAAGCCCACCCCAGATCTCCCAACAACAGCCTATTAAAAAATAATAAACCCCAAACCATACCCTAAGAAAGCCTTTTGCACGTTAGCAAATACGCAACTTCTTTATAAACTGTGGTGACAGTGACAGAAAAAGAACAGTACGGTGTTGCTGCACCGATCCACATCACTTGTGTTGTGTGAGATTGTGCGTGCCCATAAATTTTGTATGTGAATATAACAAGCATATGTATAATGCAACAGATCCCATAGATACTGTAAATGCATATGCCTTCCGTAAGTGGGAGGGTAGATAAAGAAGATGAGTGGGCAGTATACAGGATAGAAAGAGACTTATTTTGTGGACAAATGATCTATAGATGCCACAGGAAGACAGAGGAAAAAATGAACTGAGCGGTACAGCGATGAAGGAAAGGAGCGAGGGGCAGACAGACAGGAGAGAGCTAATATGCAGAGTGATGGTGTTACGGCCAGATGTGCGAAGTTCACAGGCACAACGCTTGCCTGGATAAACTGTCGGAAAGCTGCGCTGAAGGGCTTCAGTGACAGATAACTGCAATGGCTGGACAGGACTGAGATGGCTGGTACCGTGGGGATGGATGGCACAGTTAATAAACGGACCAACGAACAGAGAGGAGACAGACACGTTTGGTGGGAGCCTGCATGCAGTGGACAAACAGACAAGGCCACCACTATGAATGAAAGCTAAATAAACGGGAAACGAACAGAAAGGGAGGATGGGCGAATGCAAGCCTCAACAGACAGATGCATGCAGTGAACCAGATGAATGTGCAGGGCAGACAGACGAGGCGAGGGATGCAAGAGATGGAGTGGGACAGGCGGAGGAGGGACAGTGGGACGCGCAGGGACCGAGGCAAGCCACGATGCAGCTGGAAGGACCGCCGGAGGGAAGCCGGGAGCACGGAGGCTGCAGAGGAATGAAGGGACACAGCGAGGGCAGAAGCCCGGGCACAGGGACACACGCAGGGAGGACGGGAGGAGCGGGCAGGGCCGGGGCGAGATGATGCGGGGCAGCGGGGAGAGCGGATGAGGCAGAGGGCGTGCGAGTGAGCCCGGCAGCCAGATGCCTGTTGCAGGCAGGGGGACAGGCAGGAGGGGACAGGCAGGGTGACCAGGGGGACAGGCAGGGTGACCAGGGGGACACGCAGTAGGGCCGAGCAAGGGCGGCCAGAGGAACTGCCAGGGGTCAGGCAGGGGGACGCGGAGGGTGGGCAGGAGGACAGGCAAGGCGAATGCGAGGACTGACA